TAATTAATATCCTATTAACTTTATAGTAATTTCAAAAAATGAATCAGATATTCTTCTGTCGATTTAACTTTTACGCATTTCTCGCAATTTTTACTTCAGAAATAGTAAAATTTACTATTTCCGGAATAATTTTTACTATTTCTGAAGTAAAAATTGCGAGAAATGCGCAGAAACTGCAGACAGTTCTGGTTTTACTTTTAAAGTAGTAAAAATTACACAGGAAAAACAAAGTGTTATTTTAACACCAGAATTGGTGTTAAAATAACACGCAACAAATTTTACCCTAAATCTGGGTTAAATTTTACGGGTTTTAGCATTGGAGAAAATTACCCGCAACAAAAATAACACCAGCTTTTTTCTGTGTACTTTATTCGTTTTTCCATTTTTTCCTGTGTAGTACTCGCTAGTCATTAAGAAATATGTTTCAGTGTAAAATAATTATTCTTATGAATACACTAAAACTTTAGTTATTAAGGTACATACATTTGTGTCTCAATAACTAAAGTTCTAGTATAATTAAAAACTTTTCTTCTACTTATAAGTACTAGATACGTTAAAAATTTAGTTATTGAGACACTTGACATGACTCAGAAATGCGTCAATAACTGAGATTTCAATGTAAATTCTCTCTAAATCTGAATAAGTGAAATTTCACTTAAAATGTGTCAAAAGTCTTCCACGTAGAAAAATAAGTGTATATGCACTTAAAAATAAGTGAAACTTCACTTATTTTTGAGTGAAAACCACTTATTTAAAAGTGCATATACACTTATTTTTCTACGTGGAAGACTTTTGACACATTTTAAGTGAAATTTCACTTATTCAGATTTAGAGAGTTGTTTTTACAAATACACTAGAACTCCAATTATTGAGACACCTGGTCCATCTTATGTGTCTTAATAACAGAGGTAAATTAAGGTAAATTAAGTTTGATTATACATGTACGACTGAATACACTGAAACTTTAGTTATTAATCATTTATATATCTCGAGTATATTTCAATAAATAAGGTCTCAATGTAAATTATTTCTGTAATATTTAATAATTTTTTTTTTTATATAAAATTCTAATTATTTACACATAATGAACACCAAGTTAATATACACAAATCGGCTTGGTGTTTTAATGGTAATTAGTTTTAGTGCATTATAAAAAATTATTTACACTAAAACCTGTGTCAATGAGACACTTATGAGTTATCTTATGTATCTCAATAACTAAGGTTCCAGTGTTAATATTACTTTCTCATATAGAACAAGTTTTATTTATATAAATAAATACACTTGAACCTGAGTTATTGAGATAGATGAGACAAAACACATGACTGAGGTTTTAATTTAATTTTTTTTATAACTTGCACTTATTACTAAGATGTTGAGCCGTGTTAATATTTTAATTTATCAACTTTTAATAATATATATAATTATATACATCTATAATAGGTATTTACATTTTTATACATAAACGACAGTTTAACGGTTGATTTTCTTGAAATAAATCTTTGACAAAAGTACATTTAAAAAGTAACTTATCTAATTCCAGTCAACACCCCGTCGCGAGGGTTCTTTGTATAAGATTAGATTATTAAAAAATCAAAGGTTCCGGAAACAATATCAAATTATGAATAGATTTTTCGTCGCCCTTAAAACTTGTCAAACGAGCCTTGTATACCTGCCATCGTGTTTTACTTGTAGACCAAACGGAATGTGGGCTTGGTGGGTAAAAGGAAACGCGTGTTGTGATATGAACATATGTTTATACCGGGTGACTTATTATCTTCCGATCTGGAATTTTTTAATCCTTTCTAAAGAAAAAAATAAGATTCACGTTTTCATGAAATTACATCCATTGTTTTTGACTTTGAGTGTACTTTTGGTACATTCTGTAATTTATATATTGAGTCTTCAAAAAGAATTTAATAATTTTGTTAATAATATGAAAAATGAAATATTTGCAATTTTTTAATAATAGTATTAACAGTATTAGTCTGGAAATTAATAATTGAATTTCTTTTTAATTAAAACTAATTTTAATATTTAATTTAGTAAATTAAAATCGCATTTTTCAAATTTTTGCAAAAAAAAGAGTGAAATAGTTTTTGAAACGAATTCAATTCGTGTGAATTTTTTTCATTCATTTTGAATTTCTTTAATGATAAGATTTGTAAGTCAATAATTTTGTTTTTTCATTCACCTTGACTAATTGAATTAGACAGGCATTTCAATAAATCTCGATAGCTTGTATTTTAACCTGTTTTAACAGCATTTTTTTCCCCCTAATCTGCTTTCACTTAAAATGAAATTAAGAAATTAGTTTTGAATTGTGTTATGCTCTATCTATTGTATCTTTAATTGTATAACTATATTTATATTCTATCAACATATATGTTTTGAAAATATTCTTGAATTTTTTTTTTCGAAAATATGATAATTGCTTGTGCTATATATATAGTACGTTATTTTTTTCTCTGTTAGAATCTATTCTTAAATTTTGTGAGTTTTAAAATTCAGTTATATTCTTTTCGCGCAGTTAAACTTTTAAATTCATAAATTGTACCGATTCAAATTCCTCACGAGGCTCGGGCATTATATATATATATTTTTTTTAATGATGCGAAATTCCAGTCTTTAAAAAACTTATAATGTCTCAAAAAAAACTATATATAGTATAATAAATTCTTGGTGTACTTAAAAATAAAATTTTACGCCGGAAACCTCTTTCAAAGCACTTAAGAAGATGCTCGACGTCGCGACGGAACGTCAAGGACTGACGTCTATCAGCAACGTCGATACTCTTTCTAATTCGCTCATGTTTTCGAATATTACGAAAATAGTTCGCGCAAGGTGTTATACTTCAAGTATCCATTATTCGTTTAAAAAAATGTTTTTCACATTGGCTGATGCAAAAAAAAAAAAAATTTGTTTCATTATAAAAGTAGTGTTCTCGTAAATTACATTAATTTTATTATAAATGATATAAACTCATTAACGAATAAAGTAAACCCATTTATATTAGTAAATAATGTTATTTATTTAGTATTGTTTATAGATTATTATTTATTATTTTCGTTTTATAATTGTCATTGACCCTTGGAAATAAAATTATTATTTTTAGAAAAAAATTTACATTTTTTATAGTTTAACTTCTGAGGTTTAAATTTTTTGATTTTTGAAAATGTTTTAAATTCAAAAAACTTCAGTGTGACATTAATTTAGACTTTTCTTAATTATTAGATATTGATAAAAATAACTTGAATAGAGTCTGAAATGTTGTGGGTGTGAGAGTGATAAATGTTTTTTGTTCAATAGCGTGAGAAAGAAAAAGATCGATCTAATCAAACATTTTTGTAGTTAATTAATGCAATATAAACGTATCTAAAAGTATGTATGTATATATGTTGATAGTTATTTAATTAGAAATGTATATTTAATTTTTATTTGAGTCAATTAAATATGGTATTTCTTACAAATACAGAAATTCAAGTAAATATTTATTTGATAAAATAGATAATACTCAAGTAACCGATTATTTAAATCAAATACATTTTTTTCAGTGTATAAATTAAAATTGTAATTTATTTATTTATTTATTATAGGGTCAGTTGGGGTAAATGGGGACAAGAGGTTTTGGAGCTTAATTTACAGTTTTAAAATAAGGTTCAACGTAAATATTTTAACCTCAGATCACCTGCAAGAGGTTTTGAGTATTGCCATAAACTTTTATCTTGACAATTGGCAGCAAGATAAAAAAAGTTATCGCTTAATGCATAAAAACTTGAAAATCAAAGTCAAACAGTTTCAGTATTTTTTCTCGCATTTGAAAAAAAACAGACTTAAAAATCATACCAAATTTTTTTCTTATTCCTTATGATTCCTTGAACAGAAATTCACTTGAATTCTTGATTTTTGTCAATTTGGTTAATAATGACAAGCTGTCCCCATTTACCCTGAGTTTTCAAATTTTTGGGGTAAATGGGGACAGCTTGTCATTATTAAACAAATTGACAAAAATCAAGAATTCAAGTGAATTTCTGTTAAAGGAGTCATAAGGAATAATAAAAAAATTTAGTATGATTTTTAAGTCTGTTTTTTTTCAAATGTGAGAAAAATAACTGAAATAAAAAAAAAATAAAAAAATTTCAATTAATTCAACTATTATATATCTACTACAATTTTTTTTCAAGTTTTTTCATCCCTTAATACAGTAATATACTTAAGGAAACTTTTTTCTTAAAACTTTCTTAGAAACAATGCTGTCCCCATTTACCCCGAATTTTATGAAATTTTCTCAATTTTGGGGTAAATGAGGACAGTCAGTTTCATGCGTTTAAAGCTTGTCTAAATTTTTATTTGCTACATAAAATTAATCCTGGGAACGTAAATAACAACTTAAAAAATATAAACCCGCAAATATTACCCTTTAAAGGAAGAAACTTACGTAATTTGTGAAAAATAGCGATTTTGTTCCCATTTACCCCAACTGACCAAAATCGTAATTATTTTAATTAATTTATTTTTAAATGTTCAAATCCTACATGTGTACGTTTTTTTAATTATTAAAAAAGTTTTTGTCCAATTATTCGTTAAAAGTTATTAAAATTCAAAAATAATAATAGTTAAAATAATAGTTATATAACATTTAAAAGTTAAAATTTTTCAATGTTCTAGTAAGAAAATAAAGAAAACTATATCAATAAATTCCAGATTTATCTTCTTTTTTAATTTTTTAAAAATATAAAGTAGATGATTTTTTTTATGTAATCAGTTATGTAAAAAACAAACATCCCACTCTAAATTGAATTAAATTATAACAATTTGTAAAATAACTATTCAATTTTATATAAAATTTTTGTGATTTCATTGCAATATATATATATATATATATATATATGGAAGGTTGGCAACTATCCCTCAATAGAAGCAAGTTTCACACCAAAAATTTAAATTGTTAAATTTAAAAATTTTTATTCTAAGAAATATGAAATTTTCTCAAAACTTACCCTAACTAATGATTCAACCACTGGATCATCTAGAAGGCCTTTAAGAAATAGGAGATTTGTTTCATCTGCAACTTTTCCAAGTTCTTCAATATTGTCCCGAACGTGCATGAAGGCAGCTGGAACAAGCACAGAACACTTCTTCATGACTGGTCTGAAATTCGTATTTTAGGGGTGGTATCAGGGCTGTACGGAATAGGGATGAAATGATGAAATCCTCGCCGGGCGTGGCCTATCGTATATATACTTGGAAATCAATAATCTTTCTCAGCTACAGGTGGCAAAGCACTCAAGTTCAAAGGCTTTTTATAACACGGAAATAATTTTCCGCCTAACACACACTCTCTTATTTTAAAAGCCAATTTTCAATTTTCACAATATTGTTTCCGTGTTTCAATCTTTTAAATATTTTGTATATTCGATAATAAGTCTTTTAAATTAAAATTGAATATTACAATTTATAAATTTAATTTAAAAAAAAGTTCATTAGAAAATAATTTTTCATTTAACATAATTTTTATTTAATCGAATTTTCTTTTACACAATTTTTATTTATATCCGAACAAATATTCGACATAAACATTTTAGCGCGAAATTCAAAATTATAACATAACAATTTTTTTTATACTTTCTAATTGGGGTTAAATTATATGAGACAAACGTTTTGAACGTTCAAATGAACGAAATTTTTTTTTACAATTTCTTTAAGTACTAATTTTATTACAAAATATTTGTTTAAATTATCTAAAAAGAAGTTATTAATTTAATAATAGTTTAATTTATTGTTTTATTTTACATTGTCATTATAATTTTTTAAAAATTAATAGATTGAAAAAAATATTTCGTTCATTTGAACGTTCAGAACTTTTGGCTCATTAAATTATTGTAATTCATACTGAAATGCTTTTATATGCCAAATGTTTGTGAGAATTTGGTGATTTAAATTTTTTTTTAGTAAAATAAAAAATTGTGCTAATTGAAAATACTTTTATAAATATAAAAATTAATTTGTTCATTGTGTTCGATATATGCCATAAATTATTTTCATTTGTTTTAAAAATGTTTTCTAGACTATACATTATTGTTAAAACTTCACTATATAATTGACTTTTAAAGAACTAGTTTAAGTCGTAAACTATATCGTGAATTTTTTATTTCGAATATAAGTCTCGATGATTGAAGAAGACTTTATAGAAATATATATATATATATATATATATATAATTTATTTCACTTTCGAATCGAATAACATTGTAGACTAAACAAAAGTCAAAAATTTCAAATTATATCACTGCATGTTCTAAGTTTGTCACCTAATTTCAAATTTTAACATTTCAAATGAAAACATCAAACTTTTTAAGTGTTAATTTTTCAATGTTGTCTAATGTTACAGAAAAATTAATTTCGAAAATGAAATTTTTTTATTGAATAAATAAAATTAATATTAAGTTATTAAATTAATTTTTTTGTTTTTGAAAAAAAATATTATATTATTTTAATTAATTATTAATTATTACTTTATTTTGTTTTCTCGAAAATTCACGTTTAAAAAGAAGTTTGGAATATTGTTTAAAAGTTGAAAAATGAGTGATCAATTTGGGAATTTGTCATTTTTAAAAATAAAAATATTATAGGGACTTTTATTCAAATCTTTATTTAAAGTATTACATTTACTGAATAATTTTTTTTTTTTAAATTAAAAGTATAAATTTACAAATTTCTATTTTTTAACAAGTATAGGTATATAAGACATTGATAATAAGTGATTTAAAAAAAATCAAAATTTTTCATGATGTATGAATTAATTTTGGTAAAATTGGAATTTTTAACGTTTACGACAGTAACCTGAAACCCATCTAGGTTCTTTATAACAAAATCCGGTACAACAAGTGCCCCAAGTTCCATCAGGTTGACAACCCCCATTAATGCACTCTGACATAGCACAAGAAACTAGCACCATGAAGATTGTTGCGACCAATATACATAATGCTCTATATGTTGCCATTTTTTTTATTTTCCTTTATAAAATAAGTATACAATTAATTATTATTAATAAGAAACGAAATAATAATGGAAAACGTATATAATGTGGTCATCCGCATAATAATAACAATCTTTATTTTATACAATAAGGATTATTTTTGCATGAAAGTTAATGCGAATATCGCTCTTATGAAAGAAACTATAAAGTGGTCACTTTTCATGTGGACGGACACATATGTTGAAAAAGATTATGAGAAAAAAGAAAATATAATAAAAAATATGTCAAACAAAATTCATAAACGAAAATTATGTTTAACCCAATTTCATTAAATTAAATAAATTTTTTATTAAACCAAACTTCTATTCACAGTTAGAGGAAAATTCCTCTTCTAATATTGTCTCAATATTTTCTCTCAAAATAAGAATATTGTATTCCAATGTAGAATAATACTTTATTCTTTTTTCTAATATGGAAGAATGATAATAGGATTACTTTAATATTTTCCTCTTCAGTTAAAATTTTCCGCTTATAATTCAGACGATTTGATTTGAAGAAAGGGAAAAGGAAATAAATGTTGATAATCGTTCAATCTTTTTTCCTGTTTGACAGTTGCGCTATTGTTTTTTCTGTTTTGCTTCCTCTGGAGGAAGCTATGTAGTCCTTCAAATTATGAAATTATTAGAAATGCACCAAACAAATTATTTTCTATTTATAAATGTCATATATAAGTCCCTGATCAATTGTCCGGATGTATGTATGTGTGTGTGTATGTGTGTGTGTGTGTATATGTGTGTGTGTGTGGATCCATTTTTTTGTGAACACGATAACTTTAATACGTTTTAACGGATTTGGCTAAAATTTGGTACGTATATTTGTCACATCAATATCTCAAAATGGACACAACAATTTTAGAAAGTACCCCCTAAAAAAAAATTTTTTTTTACTTTTTTTCAAAAAATCGATTTTAATAAAAAAATTGTTTCAAAGCTAAAATAAAACGGTTGAAAGAGTGGAAAAGGTGGAAAAAGATATATTTTTTGAAATCATTTATCATATTTTAAAAATAATATGTATATAAATTATTAATTTATTGCTTCCTCCAAGAGGAAGCAAATCTTTTGCTTTGCGCAATGAGAAAGCAAAATGTTCATGAAATGAACATAAACTTCTTTTATAAAAAGGGACCCCCATCTTGTTTTTTCTGTACCTGAATTTTATTTATTATTATTAAAATTGTGCATCGGGTTTTGTTTTTGGATCAAAACTATTTTATAAATTTTTTTTTTTACTATTCTATTATATAGAACTTTTATAGTATACGTACAAACACAACTTTTGGCATGATCAATAATTAATTATAATTGTGCTCCATCGTGCAGTGATTACAGATGTATAAAAAGTCTTATCTCACTAAAGAACAATATTTAACCCCTTCGCAGTCAAAAAATTCGGTACGCTTTTGATTAATTTTAAAACTAACCAATTTTAAAATTGCAAAAATTTAAAAAAAATGAACTTGAAAACGTTTATTTTTATCGAATTGAAATAAAATTTAATTCAAAAAATTGATTATTTTAATCTTTTATGGTATTAATTTAATCTGCAATTCTTTTTAATCCTTGATGGTTTACTGTGATATATTAGTTCGGTGGGTATAGATATTTTATAATAATTTATATAGAATTTAAAATTTTGGTTAAGCAGAAATTTTAATTGAATAAAAAATCGATTAAATGAATAAATTCTTTTTTAATTATAAATTTTGCCTACTTAAAATTCGGTTAAATATGTATATATAAATTTGATTAAATAAAACTTTAGTTGAAACTTAAAAAGAAAATTTGTTAAAAATACAAATTAATCAAAATAAAAATTCCATATTCAAAATTATAAATCTAACATTGAAAATTTTCTTAAGTATAGTAATTCGATATTATGAGTTTCAAAATACTATATGAATATTAATTTTGTTTTATAGAGATATATTTGTTGAAAAATTATATAATGTAACAGTAACTACCTTCAATTTAAATAATGATCGTTGATAAACTTTCAAAATGTTTAATTGAATTTAAAAATTTTAATGGTTTTTATACCTAAAGATAAAAAATATAGTCAACAATAAGAGTTAAATAAATGTCATAATTTCCTTATTTTTGTTATTGTCAGGCCTCGGATCGACTTTAAGACGCAAAATAAGTCTTTTTACAAATTAGTCGTATTACATATTATAAACAAAGGTCGCAAAAAGTCGATATTTTAATTCTGAACTAATTTAACTATATATTAAATAAATAGGTATTTATTATTATTATTACTAAATGTTCCTTATCAATTATTATACTAAATAATAAATTTAAAAAAATTTTTTAGATTTTATTTTTCTCCATTGTGTATCTATAACAAAGTTTTACAATAATTAAAAATTTTTTAAACTTTTTTTAAGTTTGATTTCTTGAAATTATTCTAATTCAAATTTTCCAAACTATTCCAACTTTTTCAAATCTTGAATAAATAAATTTTTTATGTAACATTTGAGTGTCAAATTATTTAACCTATTTGACCGGAAATGGGACAATTCGTTTGGAGAAATGTTTTATATATATATGTATGTTAGAAATATTGGAACACTTTCATTTTAAAACAAAACCAAGGTCTATGAAGTAGGCGATACCTCTAATTAGGTGTAAATGCCCATTAACTTTGATTAACATCATGGTTCGACAACAAAGCACAAAGGTGATGAGTCGCACCCTTTCTGCTTTTTACTAATGACCTTATTTTCTTAACTTTGCATTTTATTATATTCATTTAAATTTTTTTTTAAATTTCGTAATTGTTTAAAACAATTTAATATTTATATATTACAATTATTTATTATTATATTTATATTATTATTTATTAACATAAATTTACAATTATTATTATTATTATTATATATTTTTTTTATTCAAAAAGGTTTAATAATATAAAAAAAAATATAATTATTACTATAATTAATTTGTTTCGTTTTTAATTTCGTTCAGACATTTAAAAATTTTAATTTGTTTTTACTTGAGTTGATTTTTAATAAATAAATATAAGAAAATAAATTGAAAAATATTTTAAATGTTAGTACTGTATAATACGCATTTGCATGACTTCAGATATTGCTTTTTTTAAATCACTGCATCAGTTTAATTTTATTTGAACAGTTATTATCCCTTTATGGATGAAAAGTTTTCATTGCCTTGCGTGCATATAAGAATTCGCAGAAAATTTACACATAATTGACTTTTAGTCGCATTTTTATGAGTTTCACATGTTTATGTATATATTAAAAACGTGTACATTCTGTACATTTATGTTTATTTTTCTCAATATATGATTATAATTATTTTTATTAAATATCATTTATAAGAAAAAAATTATTAATAATTTAAAATTATTATATACATTTTTCACTCTCAAAATATTCAATAAACTTTTCTTATTATAATTTACAATAGAAAAAAAAATCCATCAAGATTTATGAATCTTTCAATTTCTGCAGACTTTATGAAACTATATTATCCTAAAAGATTACGTGAAAAATTTTGCGAACATTACGCTGATTTATAAATAAGCCCTTTTCTGCAACGAAAAATAAAATATTCCGAAATTAAAAATATATAGGTAGGTACTTGGCGTATATTTTAGATTATTTCTTTATTTTATTTATTTATTTTCTTCACCTGAAAAAATTCCCCGGGAATTCTTATTGAAAATTTCAATTGGAAATTCCGGTTAAAATCTAACGCCACAAGTATTTCTATTCTGAATAATTTCAGAATACTTTTTTTTTCAGTGATACATTTTTTATTTCTTTTCATTCATAATTTTGAAAATGCAGCTTATTTAAAAAATAACAAACACATGCGTGTTTAGTGTACAAAGTATTTAACAGTTTACACGCCGTAAATATCTCGCGATTATATTGAGGAGAAATAAAAATAAACTGAAGAATTAAAAAGAATTATATTACCGAATTTAAACCGCCAATTTTTTTCGTTTTACGTTTCTATTTAATTATACGTTTTTTTTTTAAATTAATTATCGATTTATATATATTATAATACATAGCAATTTATCATCAGTATAATATTACATCCAGAGAAAAAATATATTCGTCTCAGAGAGCTAAATAAATATTTATTTGTTTCAAATAAATTTTATTTGGTTCTAATAAAATTAATTTGCTTCTAATAAATATAGATTAATAGATTTATTTCTTCATTGTATAATTTCTAAGTTTTACAATATAATTTTGCTTCCCCTTATTTATAACAATTTAATTGTTTATAATTCCAAAAAAAAAATCTATTTTTATTCTATTAACTAAATTATATTCGGTGCAAATGAAAAATTTCCCTGAGTGTAAGTTGTTAATAATCAATAGAAATTTTTGTTCAAACAATAAAAGAATTTTTTTTGCGCAGGTATTAGTTATTTTTTATAGAAATTTCTTTTTAAGTAATTCATTTTTTTTTTCAAATTTACCATTCTCAAAGTGATGAACTTTGGCTCCATTCACAGCATCCATACTCGCCAATAATCGTCGATCATCCATTTTTTCCTTTCGACCGAAGAAAACCATTTTTGCTGTTTTAACTGCTAACACTTAATATTATATGACACAAGAAACAAGCTTTGATGCGCGGCTATTAAAATAGTACAATAATCGTATTTTTTTTTCTTATATTTAAATAATGCACATTTTTTTCACACTTTTACACATTTTGATTAACGGTCAATCCACACGAATGGAATCATTGCAGAGAAAAAGGTAATTAAAAAAGAAAACAAAAATAATGAGAGAGAAGTTTTTTAAAAAAATGCCACTATTCTAAAGCCTTCCACGCTGTTTGTAAGTCGATATGCGAAGACTTTCGTACAACGAATGAAAGTGTGTTTCTTGTTCACTACCAGTTGTGGGGCCTTAAGGATTTAAGGCCCCTGTCTACATTATATATATAGGGAATGAAAGCGACACCATCCGTGAGCTCACTCAGTATAACTGCCTTTTGCTAACGGAAAACTAGGTGAGGTGAAACTGTAAACTTCCCTGCATTTACATCCTTTTCTTTAAGAGCATTTGAACCTTCGTGACGTCACAAATCATGGCGCATGACACGCAAACTTCTCAGGTATGTGAAAAGCACAATTTTGAATATTTTTTAAAAAAACCTTTTGGAAAATGTTCAGAATAACATAGACTCTGTCTGTTATGTGCGGAAAATTCAAAATTTTGCGTTTAAAACGTTTTTTAAACAATGTTTAAGTTGGTTGTCACAAGTAAGGAAAAATACATGAATTGCTTATATGTAGGCCATTTTTGGAACTTAAACATTGTTTAAAAAACGTTTTAAACGCAAAATTTTGAATTTTTCGTACATAACAGACAGAGTCTGTGTTATTCTGAATATTTTCCAAAAGGTTTTTTTTAAAAAATATTCAAAATTGTGCTTTTCACATACCTGAGAAGTTTGCGTGTCATGCGCCATGATTTGTGACGTCACGAAGGTTCAAATGCTCTTAAGGAAATAAAGCATTATATTACATCCATTTTTTTATTCCATAGACTATTAAAACCCTTTTTTATTTTTTGAATTTTTTCTCTCTCTTTTTATATATGATAATATTTATTTATAATTTTTGTTATTACACTGAAAAAAAGTTTTATTTGATTCAAATAATTGGTTACTTCTACTTAATTATTATTAAATAAATATTTTTTTGTATAAAATAATTATTTTCTAAGTCAATTAAATGGTATTTGTTTCAAATACAGAAATTATTGGTTCACATACAATTTATTTTATTCAAATAATAATTATTTTATACAAAAAAATGTTTATAAGATATAATAGTCAAATCGATTATTTGAATCAAATAAATTTTTTTCATCTTTAATTTTTCATAATTAGAAAATGAGTAAAAAGAATTTTGTTTGTAATACTGTTAAGGATTTTTAAAATAATTAATTCAATTAATTACTATAATATAGAAGATATTTTGTAAAATTCAAATAAAAATGTTTCAAAAGTGCTTAAAATAACCTTGAAAAAAATTTATTTTATTTTTTAATTTTGCGTATTATTTATAATTAATTCGACTCAAATTTAATAACATTGATAATTACAATAAAAAATTATCTTATAATAGTTTTTAACAATCTTTTCTGTCATTTCCTAAAGGTCTTTTGTTTATTTGAGTCAGTTATATCTGCTTTTTGTATCACTTTGCGAAATTAGGAATACCTCCAATTTTTTTGAATTATTACTCTTTAAACAGTAATTCTGTAAGTTTTATGAACAAAAAAGTCCAAAAAGTGATTATTCGTTATTAAAGATAACTTTAAATAGTGAGTAATAAAAATAACCTTCTTGACTCTCGTTGAGAACTACGTTATTATACAAATAATTATTTCCATTATTACATTGTATAACACAGATTATTAAAACTTATTCTTCTTTTAAATTATTCAAAATATCAATAAACGTAAAATACACTTGAAGAAATTTTTTATTTTAACTAAATATATTTATTATTATATTATTATTGTTATATTATTATTATTTTTTAATGGCGTTTTATTTAATAATAAAATTTAATTTTATTGAAAATTTAAATTATAGTAGATAGTATAATATATTCTAATTATTAATCCTCCAAGTTGGGCAAAAAAAATGTACCTAAAGTTCTGAACGTTCAAATAAATGAAAAAAATTTTACTACTCTTTTAACTTCAAATTTTATTATAAAATATTACTTTCTGTAATACAAAAATAAATTAACAATTTTTTAAATGTTTAATCTATTTTCTTATATTTCATTGGTGTAGTAATTCGTTTTTTTTAAATTATAGACCAAAAAAATGATTTTTTTAGTCTGAAATTTAGAATTTCATGAAAAAATGAAAACTTCACTTTAAAAAACTCAAAAAATTAAAATATTACATTAAATTTAAAAAATTTAAATTACTTGTATTCAAATTGATTTTTTGTAAATATAACAATTTTTTCTACAATTTATTTAATTATTGAACTAAATGAAGAAAGCCTTTTAAATTTGCATTATCCAACAGACCTCATTTCCTAAATAAATCACTTTTGCACACTTCACTTTTGTTGTAGAATTCACCGCAAAATGTGAATAATCCCTCATTGTTTTAGTTTAAATTATTATTTTTTTTGTCTATTAAATTTTCACAATTCCACGAATACAGTGGTAAGATTATTTAAAAAAAAAAAATGAAAAATCCGCGAATACACGTGTTAAAGCACTATTCAATGAATGAGAAGTGCGGTTGAAAACTATTTGAGATCTTTGATTTTTTGGGGTCAGAAAAGACCAGATCTCGAAACAAGCCAGAAACCAACTGATTACACGAAAACGTCAAGAAGGAGGAAACGAAGAAGCTGAATATAAAAGAGGAGATTGAGGAGAAAATTGCAGCATCTCGACGTCGCGACGCGACGCCAGATGCCTCACGTAAATGCTGTGAATACGAACATCTGGACCAATAAATGTATTAGAAATTGAAAAAAAAAATTGATAAAAATTAAATTGATACTTTGCTCTGATAATAGGTATATACATAATATACTCACCGGCGTTGGTATTAATATGACTTGATCCTGTTTTTCTCTGCATCAATGATGATAATGCCTTACAGCCCCAAATTTCTCTCTTCATTTTTTCTTTGCAAAATTTTCTTTTCGTCAATTTTCAAAGAATTGCGAAAATTTGCAAATTGATTTTATTTACGTTATAATATTATTTATTTAAGTTTGTAATTTATTAATATTTTTATATTTAACATTTATTGATATCTATCATATTTATTTTGTTAATCATTATAAATCGCTTGATTGTCAATTATTATTTCAAATATATATTATTTTATAGAAATGAAAAAATTTAATATATTGATTATCATCAATAAAGTTGGGTAAAAAATAGTTTACTTTTTTTTCAAAATCAAAAATATAGAAAAGTTCTTTTCCTATTGAAAGTTAAAGTTCGATTGAAGAGAGTCTCGTTTCCAGAAATTGATGTTTCCCACTTTTGATTTTCTCCATGGAAACGCTTCGTGTCTGTCACGGATTAGGAGTCTTTATCTGAAAGACTTGCACGAAACTCTTTTTTGTATAAAATATATATATATATATGATTGACGAAAACGATTTAGTTGCCAACATTGTATATACATATATATATATATATATTGTCATAAAGAAACTTAAAAGACGTCACAAACACACACGACAACAAAAAAATATTTCGTAAGGTTTTTAAGGTAAAAAGAAAGAAAAAGTCTCTGCACGAAATTTCGTGACGTATTACCCACACGAACTATTTATAGACAAGTGGTAAAAAAAAGAAATTTTTTCTACTTGTTTCTACATAAAATAAATGAGCGAGATAATTATTTTTTATGTCAAGTTTAGTGAACTATAATTTAAAATATAATAAATTAGAGGTGACACTTTTTTTTTTGTTGGTTTTTTTGGATCATTCACTTTAAAATATATATTCGAATAGACAGTGAAGAAAACAATAAATAAATAAACAAATAAAAAGTTACATAAAAAAGAAAAAAAAATTGTAAGATTCAAAATTAAATTAACAAAATATAAAAATTTGATTCAAAAAAATCAAAATAAAGAAAAATAACGAAGAAATTAACGAAAGAAGATTAAAATGTTTACCGAGGGAAAATCCACTGTTTTTAAATTATGCGGTTATTGGAACTATTCAATAATAATATAAAATGTATAATTAATATAGAAATTCGATGAAAATAAGAAAGTTTTGTGTAAAGGGTTTGGCTTGTAAATAATTAAAGACCTGCGACTTTGAGCGCGGAAGGCACGAGGAAAACTATAAAGTTGAGGGTTTGTTGCCGCGAGGGCGGTTTAACCCTCCAAGGCCGGGTCGCATTAGTTAATTTTTCTATCGATCGATCGTCACGTGACTAAGGATCATCAAGTTCACCTGTCAAGCCTTATCTCGGAAAAAAGAGAAAATAAGGAGAAACTATACAATGAAGGGTTTCAAAAATAATTACTTGCCTTCATATACAGACATTTGACCTCTTAAAAGTTCTAATATATATATATATATATATATATATATATATATATATATATATTCTTTTTTGTTTTAATTTGAAAATTAAATTATTTAAATATATTTATAATAATTAAGAAGCATATTTTTTAATTACCCACTGTTTAAGCAGCAAAAATGTTTTGCAATTATTATATACCTCACTGTTATATGATTTTGTAAATATTCTATAACCTTCATGTAACTATTATATATAACATCCCAGATAGCACGTAAGCTTGCAGTAAGCTTGCAGTGTAATATTGACACCTTATACGGCAAACTTTCTGCAAGTTTACTAGAAGCTTCAATTGTCCCATCTGAACCAAGCTTGCATGGTAAGCTTACCGACAGATTGCAGTGTAAGGTTACTGCACAATAAGATTATTGCAAGATTGCTCAGTAAGCTTGTTGCAAGGTTGGTGCAAGATTGCCAAATAACCTTACTTTGAACCTAACAATTTTGCTTCCTCGTGGAGGAAGCTTTGTAGTCCTTTCGTTTGTAAAAATTTTCAAAGTGTCGGAAACAATATATATGGAAATTAACACTTTGACCTTGAATTTCAAGGTCAAATTTTAATTTAATAAAAAAAATGTTGTCGCCAACGTGTAGCCCGTCAAAAAAGCTTTAAAAATCATTATACATATGTTAACTTTTATGTATTATACTTATAAATATTGTACATTGAAAAAATTTTTTTTTCAAAAAGTCAAAAATTAAAAACATTGTAATTTAAAAAATATTTTATAAAATTCAATAATTTTTTGTTTGGACATTTCAGGAATTTTGCCTCATATATAAAGTATAGTTTTAATTTAAATTTAAAGAATTAATGAAAGTTAAAAAATAAAATTTAAATTTGAGGTAAATTTAATAAATTAATGAAAGTTAAAAAATAGAAAATACACATTTTCGCTGAAAAATTTTGTATTTATTTAAATTCAAGTTTAAATATAAAATAATTGTGTTCCTTGCATTAAAACGAATCGATATAATTGTAAATAATTATAAATTATATATTATTTTTCATTAATATTTAGAAATTTCGGTTAAAATATGAATTTTTGATTTTTTAACTTCCATTAATTCTTTAAATTTTACTCAAATGTATAGGTACTCTAATGTTTATATTATTATATTATTTTTGTTTGTTTATTTCAATGTTAATGCTTTCTCCACGAGGAAGCAAATTTTTTTTGCTGATCGTAAAGAGGAAGCAATTTACAACTTGTTTTTTAATGTTTCGTTTAATTTATATAATTTTATTATATAAATTAGACGAAACATTTCAAAAAAAATTTTGTTAGTTTTAAAGCAAAGTCCTTTGGCAACCTTGCACCAATCTTGCTACAAGATTACCGTGCAAGCTTACTGAGCAATGTTGCGATAATCTTATTGTGTAATCTTGCAGTAACCTCACACTGCAATCATTCGATAAGCTTACCATGCAAGCTTTCTGTCAGTAAGCTTGCCGCAAGGTTGCTGCAAGCTTACGTGCTATCTGGGATTGTAACGTATCGATTTATAACACTGATATATATCATATTCTGTAACACTTTTAAAATAAAATTATATAATTATATATGTAACTGTTACATAGCACACAAGTACATTGAAAAAAAAATTAGTAGATTTTACTAGTTTTTAACTACTCTGAGTAGTACAATAGGTCCTCAACTAAATTTAAAGGGTTCTATTAACTATATGTATAAAAATAGTTAAACCAATTAAAAATGTAATTTGGTAAAATGCCATTTTGTGATTGGGGGCCATTCATTAATTACGTAAGGGTTCTTAGGGGGAGGGGGGGTTTATAAAATCTCTACATGGTCTTACGTCGGTGGGGTGGGGGGTAGAAGCTATTCTTACGTAAGATTTTGCCAAGTATTCTCCATTTATATTGTTTGTAATTAATTTTTTAATTACATTAATATTGTTAAAAACTTACGTAAGAAGGGGGAGGGGGGGTCGAAAAATCTTATGTATTCTTACATGGGGGTAGGGGGGGTCAAAATTAGCCAAAATCGTCCTTACGTAATTAATGAATGGTCCCTTGTATTAACTCAATTTAATGATGTTAAAACAACTCAAGATGTAAGTAGTAGATTTTACTACTTAAAGTGGTTCAATAGGCTTTAAGAACATTTTTTTGTAGAATTAATAAATCTTTTGCAATTGAAACTACTACTTCACAGTTTTCCTAAAAGTCTCTAATTGAGACCAAAAATTGCATCAAATCTTTGCAACGTTTTGATGCACATAAGTTATATCAAAAAGAGATCGTTTTGTGTATCATTTTTAGAAATGATACACGAAACGGTCTCATTCTTTGATGCAAAAAATTTAATCAATTTATATCAATCATGGCCGAATTGAATCGACTCAAAATTAAACGAATTTTTTTCAGATATTTTGGCAATAGTACAATTGCGGAGACCATTTCACTATTTAATTTGAAAATGAAAATAGCAGAAAATCAAAGACAATGTGCAATTCGATAATTAAAAAGTGACAGCTTATAAACATAACCTAAAATGCATGAGAAAAAATTTGTCGATAAAATCAATATAGCCGAGCTTTTTAGAAGGTAGAGTGCAGTTTTGCTTTTTATAAAAACGATTCAGAAAAAATTTAAAGAAAGAAAATAGATGAGTGCTGCCATCTACCTTCTAAAAAGCTCGGCTATATTGATTTTATCGACAAATTTTTTCTCATGCATTTTAGGTTATGTTTATAAGCTGTCACCTTTTAATTATCGAATTGCACATTGTCTTTGATTTTCTGTTATTTTCATTTTTAAATTAAATAGTGAAAAGGTCTCCGCAATTGTACTATTACCAAAATATCTGAAAAAAATTCGTTTAATTTTGAGTCGATTCAATTCGGCCATGATTGATATAAATTGATTAAATTTTTTGCATCAAAAAATGAGACCGTTTCGTGTATTATTTCTAAAAATGATACACAAAACGATCTCTTTTTGATATAACTTATGTGCATCAAAACGTTGCAATAGAAAAAGAGACAACCAAGTTTACTGTGTTTAAGTAGTAGATTTTACTACTTAAAATAGAAAAATAAAATTATTTTTTATTTATAATTGTTTATTATCAGTAGAATTGACTTTTTCATCCTCCCTCCTATACTGACGCTTATTTTATGCCCTAACAGAGAAAATTTCTAACCGACGGGAATTGAACCCTCGACCCTATAACGCTCGCTATCCGATACCTTAACCAACTAACCACGCACGCTCACTACGACAGTCTGCAAACTACTCGAAGACTACTTTCTGCTTGTCCAATTGGTAATTTAACTATTTAAAGTAGTAATTTTTACTACTTTTATTAGTTGCTATAACTATCCTTTTTAAGTTTTGACTTGTAAATTTTTCATCTTTTAATTATATTATAAGTTGTTTAATTGCATAGTGCAGTAAAATCTACTACTTAAAGTGATAGTTTTAATTGCAAAGGATTTTTTAATTCTACAACAAGAATTTTATTCGAGCCTATAAAATCATAGAAATTAATAAAAAAATTGACTACTCAAAAAGCAGTTATATTAATTAAAGAAAATAATTCCTTTTACTACATTTCATATAACTGGTGAATAGTAGTTGGATTTACTACTCTTCAAATTTTGAGTTGACTACAATTCCACTTGTTTTTACTACCTTAAGAAAGTTCATTTTACTACTGACCTGTAGTTGTACTTTAACTACATATTTACGTAAAATCAACTATTACTTATTAACTTCTTAAAAATAGTTACATTATTTACATGAACATAATTAGATTAACTAAAAAAGTAGTTATTTTAACTACTTTATAGTCAACTACCCAATGGTAATTGAATTTCTCGGCAACATTTTTTTCAGTGTAATAATTTGTTTTGTAACAGTTGTTATTAAATTCTTGTGTAATAATTGTTACACGAAAATTGTAAACAGTTGTTCATTTTCAGAAAAATAATCTTCAAAGAAATGTTATAACTTTTAACGGATATCTGTTACTTAATTATTGTGTAACATAATTAACAAGATTGTTCATTCATTTTTTTGTAATTATATACTTTATAATTGATTTTTAAAAATTATATGACAATTATGTATAACAGATTGTGTTCAACAATTTTTCAATTAACAAACATGCGTTGATAAAAAAATTTTTAAAAAATTATTTTTTATGTGTAGAGTCTTGTATTTGAAAATCACTTCAGTGGTGTCATCTTGCGGTAAAAGCAGGAGACACTAAAGTATTAAAAGTTGCCTATCTAAAGGCGCTACGATAATAAAGCAATTGTTTCTAGTTATAAAATTCTAATACAATTATGAAACGATAACAATTTTTTAAAATTATGTCTTAGTATAATATTATTTTTACTGTTTTCCAATTTTGTATAATAATATATGTAATTAACATTTTATTTATTAGTATTAATTTTATTGTAATTGATAAAGTGGTAGGTACCTTTTCATGCGGTCGGCCGCATGTACTTTCTTTAACTATATTTTTAAGTACATTGCTACCCTACAATTTATAATAAAAAAAAAATTATAATAATTAAAGTAGGTAAAAGTTGCAATAAAATAAATTTTAATTAAACACAAATAAGTTGTACAAAAATATATTTCGTTTATAAAAATTAAATTTTGACTAAAAACTTACCCTAATTTTTTTTTAAGATGTAATGGAATAAAATACGTGAGATAAAAATGATAAGATAAATTTTGTTGACCAGATTCAGTCAATTTGGGGGCATATTATTAAATCAGTGTCACTTATGTACACTCATGGTAGTCTAACATTATACTTTTACAGCACTTGACAGTTGCAGCGTGTCCTCAATTATTTTATATTAATTTGTGTACGATATATCATTTTATAGATTTCATTAAAAAAAAAAAATTTTTTTGTTAATTTATTATAATTTTTAATGTTGAATTTGTAAACTATAAATCTTATCTTTGGATGTAAATAAAAGTATTTACAAATCACGTGTTTGATAGTGATATCTCTTTTTCATATTGTCACGCTTTATTTGTTATTGATGATAATTTATTAAATAGCTTCTGAAATGATAATCAGTGTTTAGTGATTTATTGAAGAGGACACTTTCTTTATAAATATATAGAAAATGTCCAAATTCCTTTTGGTAAGTATTGATCTATTTAATAAAAAATTTTATAGTTCTTAATTATTTTATTTACAATTTTTAATAAATTTTAATTATTATGAAAATTAATGATTACTTTGTTATAATTGAAAAGTATGAAAAACTTTAGAAAAATCATGTTTTAAAAAATTTAGTTTTTAAAAATTTCTAAATTTTTTTTTTTGATGTTTTCTTTTTTTTAGATTACTTTTCTTTTATATTGCCTAATAGAATTAAGTCAATGTAAAATTGCACTTGATGAAATTGTTTTTGAAGACGATGAAATTAAAGAACAATATCGCGATAGTAAACCAATTCCTTATTCTCTCGAAGAAACTTTCGACGGAAGTTTCTCAGTCAAGGGTTTCAATGGGACGTGGATTTCATCGACATCAATTTTGTATAAGAATTCAAAGACAAAAGATCTTGTTATATTTGACGTGAAAACATTGAAAAACACTGTTTTTCTCAATTCTTCAACACTGGTGGGTTATTTTACTTTGTTTTACTGTAATTACTTTTCATAAAATAATTTGTAATTACACTGTAAATTATGGAGAATTATTTTTTTATACCAAAATGAATTAAAAGTAGATGCAACGCTTTAATAAATCGAAAATTAAAACAATCTGTTTAATGATTAAAATTAAAAACTTTCGACATTGAAACATTTATTTTTTTATCAAATTCATAAAAAAATTTAATCCAAAAAATTGATTATTTTAATTTTTTATTGTATTAATTTATTCTGCAACATTTTTTTTATTGCTTATTGTTTTGTTATTTTATTTATAATATGTTTGCTTTCAATCAAATATTATTTTAGTTGATTAAATATTTTTCTTTTATTGAAAGAAAGGAAATCCCTCAATTAATTTGTCACCCGATGGATCATATTTGTTAGCTGGACATCTAATTTCTAAAGTAAGTTTTTTAATAATTTTTATATGTAACTTATAACAAATTTAAAAATCAATATATTTTCATTACAAAACCATATTATGTATTGGAAAGGAATATAATATCGATTTGTAATCATTTTTTAATGTAAATGAGTTTTCTATAATTTTTTTTCGCGAACATTGGAAAATCGTTATTCAGAAAATTGATGCATTTTCGCGTTTTTTTTTTAAGTAATAAATTTCAACTTAAAGAAGATTAATGATAGCAAGTGGGAAGAAATAATTAAATTTAAAAACTATAATATTAATAAATTATAATTTTATAGTTACATTATTTCACGACGTTTATATATAAGATTTTTTTCTTAATGCTACATTTTTTTCAAAATCTAATATTAAAAAAAAAATTTTTTTTCAATTCCTTTTTATCAATCCTTAAAAAAGAAATGAAAAAAATACTTTCAATAAACGAGAAAAAGGGGATTTAACATTTTTATTTTATTTTTTTATTTTTTAGGGTTACAGAATATCAACTTTGAAAAAATATCGAGTATACGATTTACGTAAAGAGTAAGTATTTTTTTTATTAAAAAAATAATTTATAATTATTATTATTAATTTAAAAAAAGAAACTTGAAATATGATGAATCAAAAGCAATATAATGCAAATACTATATATTAAAAGAAATAATAAATAAGGAAAGATAAATAGAAATCTATCTGTAATTGTAGAAATATTATTGTTACAATAGGTCATGGTCGGAAATTGCAGATGGTGGAATAGTATCCCTTGCTGTATGGTCCCCTGTTGAGAATGATCTCTTTTACGTAATGAACAATGATATCTATTGGCGGCAAATAGTAAATCATTCAATAAAACTTACAAGATTAACTTTCAATGGTGTACCCGGAATAATTTATAATGGAATTCCAGATTGGGTTTATGAAGGTACCAAAAAAATTAATACAAAACTTAATTAAATAAATTATATATTGTTAATAACTAAATTATACCTATATTTAATATTTAAATTAAAATGTAATTTACAAATGAAAATTTAATTTTTTAATTATTTCGTATTTTTTTTTTTTTTTAAATGAAACTTGAATTTTTTTGTGTATTATAATTAATTGTAATATAATTACAATATTGTAATGTCAATGGAAATGCAATGTAATTTTGAGTGCAATTTAAATATTGTCATTAGAGGAAGTTCTCAAATCAAATAGTGCATTGCAAGTGTCTCCTGATGGGAAATATCTTCTATTTGCAACTTTTAATGACACGGAAGTAAAAGATGCCACCTACTCGATTTATGGGAAACCTGGAGAACTTGATAGTCAATATCCATCAATAATAAAACTAAAATACCCAAAGGTATCATTAATATTTTACATTTTAAATAGAGTTGAATTTTTTATTTTTCAATTTTTAAAAGTTTCTTTTTTAAACAGCAAATTTTATAGAATTTTATAGAATATAGTACCTAAAAAATACAATAATATATATAGTAATAAATTAGTTTTTCGATAAAAATAAAAACAAATTACATTAATAAATTTATATTTTTTTATTTACATTTCAATCATATAAGTTAAATATATTTTCAGGCTGGTAGTACCATGCCAACTGTTACATTAAATCTAATCAATCTAACGAATAATAATTCATCACTGACAACATTACAAGCTCCAGTTGACATCGTAGGAAGGTAAAAATGATTAATAATTTTAATTTTAAAAGTAAATTCTTGTTTTTATAAGGGGAATGATAAAAAAAATGTATTATTGAAAGAAATATTTATTAATTTATTAAAAAAAAAAAATGAAATTCTTTTTCAATTATATAGAGAGCACTTGTTGTACACTTTCTGTTGGATGACAAATAATACAATCATTGTCACGTGGACAAATAGAATTCAAAATATATCACAAATTGTTTCATATGATCTTAATGGAAAGTCCACATATATTTTGTCAGTGAATGAAACAAAAGGTTGGTTAAGTCCATCGGAATTATTTTATCATCAGGGATATTTAATTTTTCTCACTAATCAAGATTCTGGCACTTCTAATGGTAAATTTATGCACGTAACAAGATTTAATTTAAAAATAAAAAATAATAATGCACTTATTGATTTAACACCTGGCACATCAAATGTATTGTCAATTATTGGAATTGATGAAAATAACAATAGAGTTTATTATTTGGCCACTGCTCCAGAATCGCCATCTCAGAGAAATGTTTATTCTGTATCAATAAGTCAAAATTTAGCACCAACTTGTCACTCGTGTGATTATAAAAGTCCAGAAGGTATAATTTTTTTTATTTGCTTGTAATATTATAAATAAATATTTGTTTCTGCAGTAAATAGTTAATTGAAAAAAAAAAAATTTCAGGCAGACAATGTAAATATGCGGATGCAAAATTTTCTTTAGATAAATCATTTTATGCATTGACTTGCACTGGACCAGATCCGTCGACTACAGTTATTTATAATTCTAAGGGACATGAAATGTTCATGTGGCAAAGTAACCAAGTTTTTAGAACGAAATTATCACAGAGATTACAACCTATTATAAAATATATTTCTCTCATGGTAAATGGATACAAATGTGAGGTCAAATTATTTTTACCACCAAATTTCAATGAGAAGGAAAAGTATCCCATGCTTATCAAAATGTAGGTTTACCTTTTTTTTTATTATAAATATATGGGCGAAATCACGTGAGATTTCCGTCGACCCTTTAAATTCGGCCACAAATATATTTTTTTCGCCATTGACATGAAAAAGTGTCTTTTTTGTGCCTGTTTTGGGCAGATAAAGTAGCACTTTTTAAGGCAGTTTGGGCCAACTGCCTAAAAAAGACTTTTTTAGGCAGCAAACTGCCGTATAAAGTCTTTTTTAGGCAGTAAACTGCCCTATAAAGTCTTTTTTAGGCAGTTGTTAATTTTTGCATAATTTTTTTTTTTGCTTTTATTTTATTTATCAATTTTTATTATTTTTTTTCTTTAAAATTGTTTCACTTTTTCATAACAATGGCGAAAAAAATAGCGTATGTGGCTCGCACGTAGTAATTTTTAGGTTCGGATGATTTCAATACTCGCTGTCTGTGCGACTTCGGTTCGACTCGGCTCGCTTTCGGCTCGACTCGACTCGCCTTCGGCTCGTCTTCATCTCACCTACAGCTCGCCTTCGTCTCACCTACGTCGCACTAACGACAGCTCGTACTGAAAATTACATCCTCACCTAAAAAGTACTACTTTACGTGCTTGCCACATAATATACTATTTTTCTTGTTCTGTAGTGAAAAAAAGAGATACCTATTTTTTTTATTTTTTTAAAAAAATTTTCGAGTTATGAATTTTTAAAATTTCAGTTTCTTCAATGTAGAACTATTTTCAATGGCTTATAACTCGAAAAAAATGGATTTTTTCAAGTTTTGATAAGAAAAGAAAAGTTTCAGTTTTTCTTTTGCTTTTCAATAATGTTAACAAAAAATTGTTTTTTCATTTTCTATTAAAAAAATATCAATTTTTTATAAACAAATTAAGTTTTTTTTAATTTGGATATGATATTTAAAATTTTTTTTTTTTTAAAGCATACCTCGAAATACTAAGAAGATTTTGCAAAAAAATTTACAGTGGGCTGATACGTTTTATAGGTTTAAATAAATATTTAAACACCGCGCGCAACATTATTCCCATTTTTGAAAATTAAAAAAAAAATTGTAAAATTGTTAAAAATTATTTTTTTTTTCATTTTTTATAGTGAAATATGATTTCAGGTTCAAAAAAAAAATGAAAAAAATAATTTTTAACAATCTTTTGTTATTTTCAGAAATGTGCAAAATTACAAAAAATTGTAAAATTGTTAAAAATTATTTTTTTCATTTTTTTTTTGGAACCTGAAAACATATTTCACTATAAAAAATAAAAAAAAAAAAATTTTTAACAATTTTACAATTTTTTTTAATTTTAAAAAATGCGAATAATGCTGCGCGCGGTGTTTAAATGTTTATTTAAAATTATAAAAGTTATCGGCCCACTCTAAATTTTTTTGCAAAATCTTCTTATTATTTCCAGGTATGTTTTTAAAAAAAAATTAAAAAAATATCATATCCAAATTAAAAAAAACTTAATTTGTTTATAAAAAATTAATATTTTTTTAATAGAAAATGAAAAAATTTTTGTTAACATTATTAAAAAGTAAAATAAAAACTGAAACTTTTCTTTTCTTATCAAAAATTGAAAAAATCCATTTTTTTCGAGTTATCGGCCATTGAAAATAGGTCTATATTGAAGAAACTGAAATTTTGAAAATTCATAACTCGAAAATTTTTCAAAAAAAATAAACAAAATACGTATCTCTTTTTTTTCACTGCAGAAAAAGAAAAAAATATCATTTATTTAACTATGTTTAAATATAATTATTTCATTATTATTTAATTAATGAAATTATATTTTAGTTTTTTAAAATTATTTTTTAATCTTTCATATATTTTTTATTAAAAAGTTTATGTTTTTTTTCATAAATTTACTATATATAAATTAGGTTAAAAATTATTTAATATTTTTAATTTTATTCTTTCTTTATGTTATAATTATTTAAATTTCCTTTTATAAATAACCTGATGGAAAATGTTAATGACGTCATTTCCGTGCAGCTACGCTGGACCGAATTCAGTGAAAGTAGTGGATGCTTTTTCTCAAGGACTGGAACATTACATGACAACGAATAGAAGTACTATTTATGCTTTAATGGAAGGTCGAGGAAGTGGAAATAAAGGAAGTAAAATGCTTTTTGAGATTTATAGAGCTTTGGGTACCGTTGAAATTCAGGATATAATAGACATAACAAAGTGAGTTTGTTTGAAATAACAAATATCTCTTTTTTATCTTATATAAAATTCTCATTTTTTTCATTTATTTAATTTTAAAATTACAAAAATATTAGGCAAAAAATTTTCAATTTCATTTCATTTTTTTTGTACTTTTTACAGATTTGAAATCTATATTAAATCAAAATTCTTTAAATAAAAAACTGCGTCTCATTGGAAAATATTTTTAGTATAGTAAAAGTCACTAATATTTCCTTCGAAAAAGAAAAATTTCGATTTCAAGTATGTAAAAAAATTGTCTGATTAAAAAATATTTTTTTTCACCCTTCATAGGAATTTGCAAGAAAAATATTCATGGATTGATGCAAATAGAACTTCCTTGTGGGGTTGGAGTTACGGTGGTTACGCGACAGGAATGGTTTTAGCAAAAGATGTGAATTCCGTTTTCAAATGTGGTGTAGCTGTCGCACCTGTGGTTTCTTGGATTTATTATGGTAATTTTAAAGAAAAATTTTCATAAATAATTTTTTCTCACATTTTGTTTTTTTATATATTAATAATTAATTTAACGATATTATAATATTGTAACTTTTTCCAAGAGAAAAATCTAAATTAATAATTTAACAACAAACAAAATTTTATAAAACATTAATTTCAAGAAAGAAAATTAATAATATACGTAAAATAAATAGAGAGGATCAAATTCAAATATCTATAATATATTTATTGTTTATACCTCTCATTTTATTTCACGTTGATATTAAAGATATTAAAACGCATAAATGGTTCTAGTAGGATTATATTTAAACGATCATTGTTAGCTTAGAAACTTGATAACTTTTCATTATTATATACGCGTGAAACTAATATGAATAAGGAAAATTAATAAGATTAATCACTTTTTGTAGATTCTATTTATACTGAACGATATATGGGATTGCCTACTGATAATATGGCTGCTTATAATGCAAGCGATTTAACAAGATTAGTCGAAGGTATTCGTGGCAAGGATTTTCTACTTATTCATGGAACTAGCGACGATAATGTTCATTTTCAAAATGCAATGGCATTAGGAAAAGCTCTTGCAATTAAAGATGTTCTTTATCAAGAAGTTGTTTATCCTGACGAAAATCATAGTCTTTCTAAAATTTCTTCACATCTCTATCACACGATTGACAAATTTTTAGGAAAGTGTCTCAAATTAAATCACATCTAATTTTCCTTAATTAGAAAAAGTTTTCTTTATGAGAAGTTTAGTGAAAAAATTTTTATTTCATATTATTAATATTAGTATAAAATTTGTATTATATATTTAATGTAATTATTAATCGTTCAATTGAAGAATATTAACTAATAATTAATATTTCTTCAAAATATTAATTAATGTTTCCTTATAGATGTTAATATTAATGTGATTCAAAGGTGTTAATTAGTAGATTATATTTAATTGTAATGAAGTAATGTAAATTTAATATAATACTTGTAGCTTAGGATTAAATAAAAATGAATAATTTGCTTTTGACTAGCAAATATCCTCGATCGGCAATTTGTGGGAAAGAAGAGCAATATGGATTTGATATGAAATAAATTGTACTTGGTGATATTAATTTCATTTGAACTTCATCTGAAAGTCACAGTATTAAGAGTAAATGGGAAAGCTAAGAGGATTATTTGGCGTGTTCATTGTTAATTAATTGAGATTCTAATATAGTTTAGGCCATGTTTATTTGGTACGAGTTGGTAGGATACATAAATTTACAATCATTCTTTATATACGCAATATTTAGTGTGTTTCAATGCTCTTTACACAAATTTTTCTTTTCAACATATACCCATAATATAGGCATATATTATTCAAACATTCCGTTGATTGATTTTTTCAAGGCGTACACAAATTTTTTATTTATTTATTTTTTTTTTTTTATTAATTCTACCAGTTTCCATTATTTAGACGAAATATTAAAAATGTTCTACAATGAAAGACGTCAGTTCTCGCATCGAATTAAAGGCGTTTAATATCATTTATAATTCATTTTTCTTGTGACTAAAATTAATGTTTTCTATTTCTATGACAATATCTTCTTCTATATTTTGACAATTTACTTCCAAGTATTTTTTTTTTTTTAATTTTCAAATTTCTTTTTCTTGTGACAAAACATTTTGTTCTTGGCATTTTGGTGAAAAAAAATTACTTATTTTGTATATCTCGGAAACATTCAATTGATATTTAAATATATTAAACATTAAATTGGGATTTGTATAATAGATTTTTTTTTCATTTGGTTAAAATATTTTTTAACATTTATAATTTTAATAATAATTTTGCGTATAATAAAATTTTGTCAAAATTGTTCAATACAATTAATTTTCTCGCACAAATAAGGACAAAATGTTTTGTTATATTTTTTTACAGAACGATAATTGAAAAAAAAAATTTAAGGTTCCAAAAATTTGTGAATCAGTATAAAATAATACAAGTTTAATCAAAATTGATGAATTTTCTATATATAGTGATTAATTTTATTGTGCATATAAACTCAAAATGGATTTTACAAAAAATTTTCAAATGTATTAATTTATAATTACAATAAATAAACAGTCAATAATTGTAAGAATTAGGAAAATTTGAAAAATATTTGAAATTATATTTATATACTTTCTCGTATTTTGTAAAAAAAAATACGTATCAATGTTTTTCTCAGTCTTTGATTATGTTTTCTGAGTTATATTTTATTATTGTTTTAACAAAATAATAGTAATATGTATATTTTAATATTATAAATTCATAAGGAATAAACGAAATGTAAATAATATTTTTAACTCGAAAAATGTGGTGAAATAAGTAGAAAGTAATAAAATTTTATAATAAGTGAAATTTTAGTCGATAAATAAAAAAAAAATATTTTTTTTTTTGGGAAGATAAATTCTAGATAAGCTGATTTTTTCTTATACAGTTGTTTGGTTGTAATCAACATTCATTGCACATACTAATTTCTTACAATACATATATTTTACTATTTACAACAGCAATGTTGCTTTAGATGAGCTGCATTACATTATCACAAAATTTCATTTCTGTTAATGACTAATCTCATTATGCATGTTCCAAGGCTATAATAATCTATTTTGTGAGGAATGCATTATTATTAATGGCGGAGTTTGTTCTAAATGCAAATTTTGAATCACAAATTTTTCTAATGATGGAATTTTATTAATTGTGTTATAATAAAATTTTTTTATTACAATATTACACAGAATACGACTTCTACTATGTTGTAAATTGTATATTAGCAACTAAAAAAACATAATTAAACTATTTTATAATTAGTTATACATTGTTTTTTTACATGTAACACAACCATCAATAAATTATAGAAAATGTTGGAAATTTATTTTAAACCATATTTAATATTTATTATAATTGACTGATTCAATTTTTTTTTTTTCATTATTGTTTCGTAATTTAATAATTAAATTAAATTATTAACGTGAATTGAAATTTAATGAATAATAATTTAACATTATTATTAATAATTTGATTAAATTTGATGATAAGTGAATTAATTGATTTGACAATGTAACTGATTAACTGACTGATCATTCAATTGATTAATTAAGTAGTTATGGGAAAGTGACTGTGTCAGTTATAATTGATTTCTGTCAGATTTGTTATCTCATAACAATAATAGTGTTTCAGATTAAAGATTGTTAATTAAAGGTTGAATATTATAATAAACACCTTTAATAAAAATATCGTCTTTTAATTTTTTTCTTCTTCATAGAAACATAGAAAATTAGACATGTTTATAATTGTTTATATCATGAAAAATTCTTACAATTAGTATAAATAACAGTACAATGTGCGCTGGGACAATTTACATACGTTAACACGTATCTCGTCGATTCAATATTGACGATTACAATAATCCATTGATTATATATACTTTCATGTGTTTCGAGACAGATTCCCTCCGAGAATCAGGAATTAACTAAGTGTAAATGAGATTCAAAGAAAACAAATTTTAAGGTTGTAACGAAAAAAGTTTTTTTTTTTTTTTTTTCTAATAATAATTTAATAATAATTAATAATTTTACATTGTAAACTATTTCAAAGAAATAACTATTAGTCAACAATGAAAGTAATACTTTACTTATATATGTACAACATCGAAAAATTGTAATCTCGTTTCAATCATGATAGTTTAATTTTACGTGTTAAAACAATCAGCACCTTAAGAGTCCAGGGTCTTTTTTTTATATAAATATCACAAGGAAGCAAAATATTGAGTCATTTCAATTTTTTATTCTTATTGGAGCAATTTTTTAAAATAATTTTTTTTCCCTTTGCATTACATTTTGTTTATTATTAGTTTTATTCATTTTTGAAAAATTATTTTTTCTTCCTTTTGTATTATTTTTTGATTTTAAAAACAATATTTTATTTTGAAGCAAAATTTTTAAAATAATAATTTTCTTTCATGAAATATGAAATTCGAAAGAAAATCCTGCCCTGTTTTGAGTTTTTTCAGACTGATTATAATTTAATTTTTTATTCGACTCTTGCTCAGTGTAATATTGATTTGACAAAATTCTAGTACTATGTTGATATATATTTATATACCAGTTACATAGGCACTGGGCTTTAGGTCACATTTAACATACAATTAATTATAATTTTTTTGTGACTAAAATATTTTTTTTTTCGCCATTGACATGAAAAAGTGTCTTTTTTGTGCCTGTTTTGGGCAGATAAAGTAGCACTTTTTAAGGCAGTTTGGGCCAACTGCCTAAAAAAGACTTTTTTAGGCAGCAAACTGCCGTATAAAGTCTTTTTTAGGCAGTAAACTGCCCTATAAAGTCTTTTTTAGGCAGTTGTTAATTTTTGCATAATTTTTTTTTTTGCTTTTATTTTATTTATCAATTTTTATTATTTTTTTTCTTTAAAATTGTTTCACTTTTTCATAACAATGGCGAAAAAAATAGCGTATGTGGCTCGCACGTAGTAATTTTTAGGTTCGGATGATTTCAATACTCGCTGTCTGTGCGACTTCGGTTCGACTCGGCTCGCTTTCGGCTCGACTCGACTCGCCTTCGGCTCGTCTTCATCTCACCTACAGCTCGCCTTCGTCTCACCTACGTCGCACTAACGACAGCTCGTACTGAAAATTACATCCTCACCTAAAAAGTACTACTTTACGTGCTTGCCACATAATATACTATTTCAGGCTTTAGTTTGCCGAATAATATGTTTTTTTTTCTCTTCGGAGAAAAATCTGCTTGACCTACATAGTTCATAAAATTTTCAAATTTGTCTAAGAAAATCTCGTTTTTTCTTTTTTTTTGATTGTTTATTACAATAATATATAGTTACAATTTCCTCGCGAATTTCAATCAAGAAGAAAATCTTGTACACCCTAAAAAAAGTAATCTTGATTCTAGCGAATTCCTCTTAATTTGATGCATATTTTCCTCTTATATATTGTATCAAAAGTAATAGTCTTCACTTGATAGGATTTTCCTCTCGCATATAATTTGACAATTATGGTTATAAACTGATAAAGAAAAGCTATTATCATGAACTAAATTAAATATCTTTAATTAAATATTAAATATAATTAATGATTTATAGTTAATTACTTACATTAATTAATAGATTTGTTTATTTATTTAACTTTAATTCAATGTTTTTGACATCAGAACCTCAAAAAAATTGTTTTGCTTTATTATTAGTCACCAAAGAATAAAAATATTCTACATTCAAGTGGAATACTTTTATTTTAAGAAGAATAATTGAGAGGATATTAGAAGAGGATTTTTCCTCTAAATATGAGATTACTTTTTTCAGGATGTAGACAAATCATCGACCCTAAAATTTTTTGCATTTTTCAAAAAAGGGTCAGATAATTTTACAATTAGCAAAATTGTATATAAATCGATTCGATTTTGTCTGTTTTTCCAAAAAAGACAAAGCCAACTGTTCTATTTTGAGGGATCTTGTGTTAAAAGTTATCGAAAATAAATGTCAAAATTTTTATTTTTTCTTTTTCTTTCTTAAATGTCTAATTTTCAGTATTAAATTAATAAAAAAATTTCACTTATCTCGCAGAGCTTGCGTAAAAGCTTTAAAAAATATGTCAAGTTTTAAATTCATAATTTTATGCAATGTTTACATTGTATTAAATATTTTTAGGAAACATTTGTGTATTATTTATCAAAAATTTCAAACTATTTATGAAAATATATTTCATTTAAATAATTACGGCATTTGGGTTTTAGTGGAATTTCCACCAAATTCAAATTCCAAATGTTCTACTTAAAGTTTTCATTATTTTCTCTTACATTCCTTGATATCAATTAAACATTTAAATTTAAATCATTCCAGAAAATAATTTTCATACTAAAATTAAAATTAATAAAATATTTTCAACGAATATTATATAGAAAATTTGATAAAATAATTCTGTTTTATTTACTATAAAATTTAAAATAAAACATTAATTTTCAAACAAAAGATCCCTTGTACAATCAAAATTTCAAATTCTAACAATTGTCAAAAATTTGATTTTTATTTCATTTTATGTTTCATTATAAAATGACAATTTTTTTTTTGTTTTTTTATAGTCCACTTAGAAAGTTGTTTTTGTGACAAATATTAGAGTGTCTCTCCAAAAGGCAAATTCGCTTTGAAAGAAATATAAAGAAGGTAAATGCATTTAATTTGAAAAAGCCATTTCTCAAACAATGCACTTAACTTCTTTGCATATTTCAAGTTTTCAACTTTCACTGTTTTTTTTTCTATCCCTTCAAGATGATGTAGAGGATTTTTTTTTTTTTGAAGCTGAAAATTTACGAAAATTGCTTCATTTTTATTGGTAATTTTTCGATGATTCATAGTCATTTCGCGATTCATCGCTGAAATGGAGTTAATCTGTCAATGAGATGTTGTATCTCGATTTACAGGAGAGAACAGGCTGTACCGTGCATTACTTCTGAGATAAACATCGGAGTTCCGGCTCCTAATCCACCGTCAGTTCCTTGATAGCCATCCTTTTCGAAATCGCAATCAAAGTAACGACTCTGCAAACAATTAGACGATGTAATAACGCTATGTTCCCGTTTACTTTGCTCGGTCAACTGTTACGGTATGGCATAGCTATAGAGCGCAATTAGGGAATTCGGCACGGAACTATTTCACAAGTATAATATGTTCCCCATGTAGAATGGAGATAAGAACATGTGTATACTCCCAACTTGTACCAGATGCACAATTGAGGAGAATAATTAATGGGGCTTTCGGATGAAATTTCAAACTGATATACCATATACATAGTGGGGGAAAGGGGGTCATTATTCCTCAATATAAAAGGGGTAAGATATTCCTAAAATGTTAACAGGGTAGACACCCAACCTTGGAAGATTAAAATAAACTGGAAATAATAACGTAAATTTAGTTACGCTTTGAAAAAAAACGTGAATTCGCCTTGAAATTTTAAACGTCAGTGAAATTCAAATTATTGGGTCAGAATTTCTCAAACGGATCACCTAAAATTCAGAAATTTTTTTTTAGTCTCATTTTTTTTCTCAACTGTTTCTTACACAAAATTGTGCGGGGAATTCAAAAAAAAAATTTAATTTTCTGTAGGACGTCAAGAACACTATTTTTTAATAACATTTTATAAATAAATAATATAAAAATCTATTAAATATGAAATTTTTTCAAAATAAAAATTATATTTAGAAACTACATTTTAAGACGAGAAAAACCCTTTTTTTTTTAAATTGGTGAATAGGAACTCGAGAAAAAAATTTTTTAAAATAAGACTGCAAAAAATTTCAATTGTTTATAACTTTAACAAAAAAATTTTTTTTGACCTAAAAATTTCAGGGACTTATTTTTACCATGTAAGTTGTCAAAAGAAATGATTTTTGATTAAAAAAAAAAATTTCTGAATTTTAGGTGATCCGTTTAAGAAATTCTGACCCTATTATTATTATTATTTATCTAGAAAAAATTTGCAACGTTTCTTGATCAATAATTTAAAAAAAAAAATTTGTAAGCAAAAAATTCATTATTATTTTTTGATTGAAAAATTTTCTATTGCAATAAAATCTCAATTTAAAAAACCTTTAAATTTTTTTTAAAACTGTAAAAATGCCTTGAATTTTATTCGCTAGTGGCCACCCTGGTTAGATTATTAAAAAAAAAAAAAAAAAATTGAATAAGTTTGACTTGAAGTTTTGACATTTTAAATTCGACAAGATACGAAAATATTCCTAAGCGAGTTTCCTACAAAAACTGTATTTTTTTTATTTAAAAAACACTTTTTTAAAAGCTCTCACGCTAAACGAATATCCATTTCATCCCTTGTTTCATTGAATTTGGTCCATTCATTTAGGAGGAAAATAAGCTTTTGTTTAAAAAGTAACAAAATGAAATTATTTTGCCTAACTTTTCAAACAATTTTTGTTTGTTTTAGTAGAGACATTTTAATGGCCAAATAAGAGATATTTTTTCAAAATTTCGTTTAAAAAAAAGTTTTTATTACATGTGTGCTGATTTCACGAATTCGGACAACAATGAAAATAAAAAAAAAAAATTGCCCAATTGTGCGAAAACTAAAAATATGACTTAATTTTTTTTAAAAAAAGGGATTAAATATTTTTTTAAAAATGTTTTAACATTGAAAAGTACATAAAAAATGCTTCGAAAATTCACTACAATAAATATTATATTACTATAGTAAATTAAATAAATAAATTCATAATGGAATATAATAAAAATATATTAATAAATTTATTTCCAGTCAATGGAAATCGATTTGATTAATGGATTTATTTCGCTGTGATTAGTTTCTCAGTAAATTTATAAAAAAAAGGTTCAAATGCTTTTAAAATTTTTTTATTTTTTGAAGCAAAAACTGATATTCTGTGAGAGAAAAGAATAATTGATTGGACACTCTTTTTCATTTGACAGCAAAAGTCTTTGAGAAATTCAAGATCCGACAAAGATTAATTAACATTATTAATTATTAATCTTTAAATATATCAGATGTAGAATACTGAAAATTTTGTTCTGTGAGATATTACATGTAATTATGAGAATTTAATTAGGAGTTTGTGCAAGAGACATGCTTTGACTTTGTTTAAGCATATGAGCCTCTAACCACAGATGGATCATAGAAAGATAAAACGAGCTGCTAATTAGCTCTATGATTTATTTTTCCAAAATAAAACATATAATTATATTTTTCTCAGCTATCTCAAATTTCAAATAAGCAAATTAGAATTTTAGCCCGGTATACAATTTTTAGATTTTCGATTAATGAATTTTGTCATTAAAAAAAAAAAAAAAAAAAAACCTACAACAAAATTTTTAACTAAAATAATTTGACTTTTAATAGATTTGTTTTTTTGGAAAATTTTTTTCAAAATTTCCTAAACTCACCTGACAATCAAAACATCTGCAGTGATCGCTCATTTTACAAGTGAGACCCCATTGTTTAGCCACAGCTTTATAAAGTTCTTTGCTGGACTTGTTGTGCAAAATCATGTGATTGTGAAGTTGTTGTTCATCACTATATCCTCTATCTAAAATTTCTTCTATGCCAGACGATCCATTCTGGACCACTGTATTTTCTCCGTCTTCATCCTCAGTTGACGCTGATCTCTCAAGTCTTGTCTTTATACAAGAAATAAGAGAAGGAAAATAAATATTTCTAAAAACTTCCCTCCAAGTATTGAGTAAATTGAAAAATTCGCTCATTTTCAATTAAATTTTAAAGATATGATTTTTATGCGGTACATAGAATTGGAAATATTATAAATGAAAAAAAGAAACCAAAGAAGATCTGAAGATAGCTACAATTTTTAAGAAAAGTTAAAAACCATAAAAAGTATTCCCTATATAATTTGAAAAAATTCTAATTTTCTTGAAAATTTTAATTTAAAAAAAAAATTAAATTAAAAAATTTAATTAATTAAAATTTAAAAAAAATTTTGAGCAAAATGCTGTATTTAATAATAGTTGGCATACAATTTTGATCTATTTCCCTAAATGCTTACGCAATTTTTTAAGAATACAATTTTTAATAAAATATTAAGACTTCAGTAGATCATAGAAAGCCCTTATACCTGAAGAAGAATTTTCACATGTGGAATCACGTGACCTAAAAGTCATCCAATGTAATGAAAAAAAAAAAGAAATAAAAAGGAAATAGCTTTAAAAAAAAGACTTAACACAGAAAAGACAAATTGAAAATATGTAAATGAAATGAAAAAAAATGTATGACGAAGGAAAATGAAATAAGCTGAAATAATGAATAAATAGAACAGAACAATTAAAAAAACAAAAATACTAAGAAGAAGATACTAAGTGTAAAAAGAAACCACAAGTAAATTCAAAAATTGAAAAAAAATTTAGTTAGATGGATTGCTTAAACCCAAGTAAAAATTTACAACCGGCGCAGTGTTGCGCCAGTACTAGCAATTACTGGCAAAGTACTGACCGCCAATATTGAACCAATACTGGCATATGTTTGGGATGATTTAATTTTTTGGTTTACACAGTAGCCAGTGCTATGAGAAAAAATACTCATTGCTTTCAGATTTTCTCCGTGCAAAATATCTTGGTTATTTTTTTAACCAATGAGATAACTTGAGAAAAATTTAAGACGTTTAAGACACCTGTTTTTGCAATGTATACCTTATAGCATCAGTAATAAGTCAAAAAAAAAAAAAAACAAAAAACAAATTTGTTCTTGATCAGTTAAGTGAAGGGCAGTTAATTTAATCAGACAAAAGGTTTTAAATTCTTATAATTGTACTTTAATTTGAATATAGATGGTAGGGGAGAGCGGGGCAAAGCCGCTATGCGAGGCAAAGGCGTTTTTTGAAATATCTTCTTTCTTTCTAATCTATTACAATTTTCGTTAACAGTTTATTATTAATACGATTAAAGCAATAGATTGGAAAAGAAACAGCTAAAAAATATTAAATATATTAGGTCCTAAAAACTTTTTGCTTGAATAAATGAAACATTTATCTACACGATCTGCATGAAATTTAGGTTTTATTTTTTATTTAAATAAATTAAATTTTAAAAATAAAAAATGTATGTCATTGGGGGCAAAGCCGTTTAAAAACTGTTTCGTAAAAACAGTTGAAAATGAAAATCTGCATTACCTTCATATTTGAAGTTTTTCTAACTTCACATGAATCAAGTGTCAACAAATATTAACCTGATTTTTTAACCAAAACATAAATTAAAATTAATAAATTAATATTAAATAAAATAATATTAAATAATTGTTTTTATTTATTTTCAAAAATTAAATATTTCAATTTAATTATTTTTTATTATTATTGTTATTATCTTACATTACCTATATTATCATGTTACATTATTTCACAAAATTAAATTAAATAAAGGAAACTAGTTATTTTTATGTAAAAAATCTGTGTTTATTATATAATATATTAAAATAGTATAATTTTAAAATAATATTTCATTTAGAACATAAATTAATTTATTATTAACATTAAAAAAATGATCAATTTTGTGTAAATATAATATTAATATTTCATAATATTTTTTTTGTGCCGTTATTTAAATTATTTTTAAATTTGAACAGTCGGTAAAGTAGACTTTTCAATGAAAAAGTGAAGAGTTGAATTCAAAATGTGAGGTTAAAAATACAAGTATTGATATTTTTTATAAAATAACTTAAAACTCTTTAAAAAATGTATAAAATACTTATGTTTCAAAGATATTAGGTCATTTACTGCAACTTCGTACAGTTTTAACGGCTATAATTTTCTACCTTTAAAAAATATAAGTAAAAACGTCGCTGCCCCGCCATACGGGGCAAAGCCGTTTTTTTGCATATCTTTGAAAATAATTAAATTAATTAATTAAGCTTATAATATATTAAATAATTAGGGGAATAGTGTCAGGGTTGGACACTTGTCAGGGTTGGACACTTGGCTTTTTTTAAATAAGAACACTAGCGCCACCTGTGTGCGTACGTGACGAATCTTCTAGTAGTATAACCTAACTTTTTGTGGCATTACATTTTTGGAGAATCAAAAGTAGCGTCTCCTGTGACTTCGGTGCAATCGAAGAGACAAAAAAAGTTTTGTTTGACTTGTGAATAAACCTAAAAAAATGTGTAAAAAAGCAAGAATTCGGCAAGATAAGCTTATTGAATGTATTGTGGGGTACATAATTTAAGAAGAAAAAAAGTGAAAACTCGAATCGCGACACATGTCTAGTTATGGTTAGCACAATTCGAAAATGATGCTTCTAGTTAGGGTTGGACACTTTATACAGTTAGGGTTGGACACCCATATTAATTATATGAATTTGACACAATTTATAAATAAATTTTATTTTATTGATAAATCAGTGCAAAATTGTGCCAAAGATATTAGAAAAATAATACTTAAATTGTATAAATTTTGTTCATCATTTCATTGAGTTATTTGGAACAATAAAGCGTCATTTTTTGTAATTTGAGTTGATTCCTTTTTTAAACCCATGAAGCTTTACAATTTGTAAACAATAAGTAAAGATAAACATGAAAAAATAAGAATAAAAAACATTACAAATGTTATTTTACGTTTTTACCAATAATGCGTTTCGATTTTCAAAAAGTGTCCAACCCTGACTGAAAAGTCCAACCCTGACTAGATTTTTTTTTTTTTTAAATGTTTATAACTTTTTTAATTTTGGACCAATCAATTTACGGTCCACAGCAAAAGTGTTCCTCTTTTGTAGATCTTTCCACTTATATACCACAATTGACTAAATTTATCTAAACAAAATATTTATAAACAAAAAACCAAAACTGTGTCCAACCCTGACACTATTCCCCTACTATTGAAATTTGTTATTAATTAGTTTTAGATGAAATAGAAAAAAAAATCACGTCAATTGAAGGTGTAATAACAAAAATATTTATAAATAAATGTTACATCAGCGGTTTTGCACCGCTCTCCCCTAATTAAAAATATGAATCGATAAATAAATATTGTTTATCCTTATAAATCCATCTAATGTACTTAATTTAATGATAAATTAGCAACTATATTTAGGAGTAATAGTATTAATTTGGTAGCTTGAGCGTGTCATTTAGCAGGTGCATAATTAACCGTGTTAATTAATTGGTGTCTAACTGGTATCAGGATCTTGTGTTTAGGAGCAACTGCAAGGTATTGTTTCGTCCTTTTGTCAGGCCGATTGGCCATGCATTACAGTGAATTGCATGCGTACCTAATAAAGCAGAGTAGTGTTTGAATGCCCTTGTGCACAGGAGAGTATGTTTTAGTAGACCGTATAATGAAGTGATTTGATTTTATAACGGCTTCTCTCTTCTGCATATACATATTATTATATATAGAGTGGTGACGGCACGTTTGCACGTCCTTTGAATTGTCAGTATAGCAAAACCGTTATTATTTACGCAGGACAAAATCACAAAGAGAAAATTTTATTGACTCGAAATTCATTGAAATGAAAACAGATGGACATATAATGTCACTGCAATATGATTGTCCTCGTATTCAATATATCGTTAATTAAACCTTATATTCGTACTTAAATACATCAAATTAAATTATGCAAAATTAATTTAAACAAAAATGGTAAATATTCATAAAATGACCGATATTACATTCAATTTTAATATTTCAAAAAAAAAAAAAAAAAAAAAACTAAAAAGTAGTAATTTTATTTGAAAGAAAAAGATTTTTCTCTAGATAAAGAAATTAAATTCAGAAAATGTGCATTTTTGTGATATTCATCGAAAATTTCCAATTTAAGTGCATTCGAAATAAAATTTGGACGAAAACCTAAAAAGAGAATTTTGAATACATCGTAAACTTTGAAACCACCACGTATAAAGAAGAAAATGTCAAGAGACTTTAATTTTTCTCTTTACTTTCATTTGGAAATATTCCAAAAATAAAGAAGAAATTGAGAAAATGGTTATTTCGAATGAAATTACATTTTCGAGATACTCAGTTAAGTTCACTACTCTCTAAATCGGAATTAGTGACTCACTTTTTGCTTTTGAATTAGTAAATTTTTACTAATTCAGAAGCAAAGAGTGAGTCACCAATTCAAATTAGTGAACATTTTTACTAATTCAGATTTAGAGAGCAAGATATTGAAAATGAAACTTTCTTTCAAGATCCAAAAATCACTATTGACATATATATATATATATATATATATATATATATATATGTTTATACTTTTTCATTGTTGTTGTTTCTTTTTTAGTGTTTTTCGCACACATATTATTATATATATATGAAAATTGAAAACATTCTATAACGTTGCAGCGAGATCAAACGAAAGTTTTAAGGGTTTGAAGAAGAAGAAAGAAAGTCAAAAAGAAGAAAGAAAACATAAAATAGAAACTTGATCAAATTTCACAACTGTTACCTTTGTCATGCAAATAATATATTCGAAGCGGGAAAATTTAAAAGCATTTCCATGTTTCAATTTTACACATTATTTCAATAAGACAAATAAACATGACAACATAAATCATTGAGTGTTTATATAAATATAATATAATAATTTTTTTAAACTGAATAATTTTTATTTGAGTCAATTAAATGGTATTTGTTTCAAATACAGAAATTATTGATCCAAATAGTGTTTATTTAAATCAAAAGAAAGTTTATTTGGTTCAAGTAAATATTTATTTGACAATAGTCAAGTAGCAGATTTTTTAAATAAAATAAATTTTTTTCTCAGCTTATAAACTAACATTATTACCGTTTGTATAATGTGATAATTGTCACGAAAAATGTTGTGTCAAAATAGTACCGAAATAATAATAATAATAATAATAACTTAAATTTGAAATCGATAAAAAATATGAACTAATTTAAAACGTTTTTCGGATTTGTTGAAATTAAAGAGACGATTGTATAATTACCTCTTCGAGAACGTGTTCATAGGATGGTGGAGGTGAATACGGTATTGTTGAATTTTGCGAAACGATGCTACTGGCTCCAGTGCTTTGCAATTCCGAAAATCCATCTGAATCTGTCGACACATTTGGTAGTGAGTGAGGATCATCAGATTCAACACTACTACTACTACTTCCTCCACTCCGCGACTTTGACATCTTTGAAAAGCGAAGCTTAAACGGCGCCAGTTTGCTGATTTTTTATCAACACCTGCAAAAAAAAACTTTTAAAATACATTTTATTATTTTTTTAATTATACATATATACTTTTTTATCATATTAATTATTACTATTAGAATTTTCTTTTATTTATTTTATATCACAGAAAATGTTTGGTTTATTAAAATAAGCTGCAGAGCTTTTAATTTTCGATTAAAATAATCCATAATTGCATTAAATTATTTTTGTATTATTATTATTATTTTAATACCTCACAATTTTCTGTGATCATTTTTGTGTGTGTTTTTTTTTAATTAGTTGTTTTAATAAAAAAAAAAACTAGTCGATTTTTAATTAAAAATTAATTAATTAAGGAAAATTATTTTGATTTTATCTTTTTGGTTATTCATCGAAAAATACCAAAAACATCTCATGTAAGTACCTATTTCATTAAAAAGAAACTCTAATTAGAAGCTCTTTCATCACGATTTTCTTTTGTTTTTTGATGTTGAGTTTCATTAAATTTTAAAATCAATAAATTCAAGTACTGGATGCAATAAAAAGGACAAAAAAGTGTGTATTGAGATATTTTAACATTAAAATATTTTGAAATATTCTAGTTTAAATTTAGTATATGTGCACACTGAAAAAATATTCTAAAGTTAAGATTAAATATGCTTGAAACATATTTTTGAATATTTCAATTCAATTATTTTCTCATAAAAGAATTATTGAAAGAAATTTTTTATTGTTTTTTTTTTTTAAATGTCCCGATATTTTTTGTGTTTCTGTAAATATTACATAATTTGTAAATATCTACAAAAGTATCATAAAGCAACATTTTTTACCAATATTTGTTTTTGAATAAACGAAAATTTAAAAAAAATTAAGTTGAAGTAAAATAAAAAATAAAATAAAAAGTAATAAGAAAAATACATGTAATTATGTATTAAGATGGCATTAAAAATTTTTTTGATTGGGTCAACCGAATTTTTGTTGGGATAAAAAATTGAATATATGAAATTTAATAATATGTATATTTATTAAAATTGTTTTTTTACACACACACACACACTTCAACTAGCAGTTACATTTACCCTTTCACTTTCACTAAAATTATTTTTTTATACTCTGACTTACACTTTCAGTAACGATAAAATTTGTAAACATTTTTATTTTATTTTTTTTGTTTTTTATATAAGTACAAATCAATAAGTGTAAGTGAGTGTAAATAGTAATTTTAATGAAAGTGTGAGTGCGAGTGCAATTATGTGAACGCACTCGAATATTTTTTCTCAATTTCAGAATATTTTTTTTCAACTCTTTTTCATAATTTTATTATAAAAACAGTTCAAGTGCGAAAACCAAAACGGTTCAATACTGGCCCAGTATTGGCAAAACAGCCAACGAGCCATGGCAGACAATATAGGACCGACTCTTGAGGTGTTAACTGCGGTTGAACGTCGGCAGCCAAGTATTAGACGCCATTACTGAGCCAATATTGGCTGCCATTAGTGGCCCAGTATTGTCAAAGTATAAAAAAGTTTAAAAAATTATAATTATTAATTAATTCATTATACACTGAGAAAACTATATGTTTGATTCAAACTTATTTTGTTTGAATTAAACTTAAAATGTCTTTGATATACAGTCAAACGTATTTAAGTTTACTTTAAACATATTTTTTGGTCGATAGAATAGCATATTTTTTAAGTTTAATTCAAACATATTATAATTTTGATTTGAAATATGAAGTTTTTAAGCAAATTTTATGTTTAATTCAAATATAATTTTTCTTAAATCAAACAGAACATTCAAACAAATAATATGTTTAAATTAATATGGTAGATATTTTCAATATATTAAATTTAAACATACTAACTGTGTTGAATCAAACAAAATCATTTTAACTGATGTTTATGTTTGAAACAAATAATTCTTTTTCTCAGTGTACATTTATAATATAAGTCCTGACAGAAAGCGCAATTGTTTAAACATTTGAAAATTTGTAACGCTCGCGGGAACCGAACTCGCAACCTAAAGCACAGAAATCTAACACTCTAACCACTACACTATACGCGAATATGGAAATCTCAACACAAAATAATGTTTTGATAAGCTGCAATTGAGGAACATTTCAACCGTTAATGCGCCATTACTGAGCCAAGATTCGTTCCAACATTGGAAAAAATGACTTGTCAATATAAATTCAACATTTCAGCTGTCAATGGGCCAATAATGACCTAGTGATGGGAGAGAGCTCGTCTCAATTATGGAAAAGTAGAATTACCAAGTATAATGCCAGTATAATATTAATGTGACGGAGTTCGGCCCAATTATGGAAAATTGGAGTAACTGAGGATCAGTACCAATATTGGCCCAGTAATGGGACAGAGTTCGGCCCAATTATGGAAAATTAGAGTTACTAAGAATCGGTGTCAATATTGGACAGAGTTCGGCCCAATTGTGGCAAATTCGAGTAACCGAGAATCGATGCCAATATTGAACCAATAATGGGACGAATTGATCGCCAGTACTGGTCCAGTAATGTTTGCCGTACTTTGGCAGACATTACTGGGCCAATGTTGGGCCGTATTAGCAGTCTTGGCATTTCGCACATAAGTTATAAAACATTGTTTTTCTTGGTCATAATGCTTCAATTATATAATATAACATAGCTTGTTGACAAACAAGTAGAGTGTTTTTCTTTCTTGTAGGTTCAAATGATCTTTATTCGTTTAAGAGTTTCGTGACCTTGTGGAGATGTATGTTATTAGGACAACTTATCCTCCTTATACACAGAAAGACTAAAAAAAAATTATTTTTTTTTTCTTTTATACATTAAAATTTATATTTTGCCGATTATTCGAATATAATTTAGAAGAATTTTCCAGTTACATATACACATAGGTATCATTTGCCCGGAGACAGTGTCGTTGTCGTGGAAACGCATCGAATTCATCTGCACATCGACCTAGTGACCGAGTTTAACGACTGTCGTTTCTAGTTCTCGTGTTGCCTCTGAACCCGATCGCGATATTGTCACATTAAATTTCAGCTACATTATTGCAATTTTATTCAAAATACAAACGTTCATTCCCAACTAAATCAAGATTATAATGATAAATAAATAAAAATAAATGAGACGCTATGTTCTTTCTTGTATAAAGTAAACTTTATAAAATACTTTTTGTTTTGAGAACAAAATTTAATTAGCTAAAATTCAAATGGAAATATTTCTCTTATTGTTTCTCTTTAATATAATGCTCTATAATTAATTATATTGAATATTAATAATTTTAATTTCATTAATAATTAATTATTATAATTTTTAATTATTGAGGTTTATGAAGGAAGTGTGCCGGAAGAACGTTCTAAGCCGGAAGGCAAGAACTATATGGAATGAATAATTATAATTTTGAATTAGTTTATAAATTTTATTGTTTTATGATTAATTTTATAATTTAAAATAAAGTTCTGTAAATACTTAAAAAATATTTATTTCATTCGAATAACTCAGGTTTCTTGTAAATAAATTTTATTCTATCTAATAAAGTATAATCATATATATATACAAAAAATTAAATGACCAGATAATTAGATATAAAAAGATTAAATAATATAAAACCTTGATTTCTTTAGAATTAAAAGTGGAAAACTCGTGATTGGTAAGTTAAGTAGATAAAGAGAGTTCTAGTGAGACCGCGTGCATTAAATGGAAAACAGCAAAAGAGCATAGTGCTAAGAGGATTTTACTTCATTTTTTTTTCTTTTTCTTTTAAGTAAAAGTATTATGTAATCCTTTTACTGGGTGATCATTGGTCTCCATTTATAGATTTATTTGAACTACAAAAATCTAAATTACTCTTTTTTCCACCATTGTCATTAATACTTGAAATAAAAAAAAAAAGTTAAATTACCAACGAAAAATAAGTGCCAACATTAAATCGATTTGTTTTTTTGGCAAAGGTTCAGTAATTCCTTAGCTTGTATAACGACTGCGACATTTTTTTATTTTAAATTCAAAACAAGTTATAAAGTGTCCTATTGTTCCATTTGACTTTACTACAATTTGAATAGTGATGAAAAGCAATTCAAACAAAAGTAAGAAATAATTTATAATATTAATAATTTCCTCAAACGAACATGAGGTTTATGTTAAATTTTATTTGTCTTTAGTATGCACACAGTAAAGAGATAATCTTATTTTAAGCTTTGTTTATTTTCAAGACTAATTTAACTTTAGATATATATCTTAAAATAAGATTTTCATTTTACTATGTTATATTTAATCTTAAACAATATATCACTTTTACAATTATTATAATTATAAATATAATGGAAAATTTTTTGACTTTAAGTGAGTGTTTCGCTTGTTCTAATTTAAAGGAAATGCTTTTCATATATTTACTTTACGAGGAAAATGTTTATTTAATGATACTTTTGAAGGAGATTGAGGTGAAATTTATGTTTTGTTTAGAGTTACCTTTTACGACAACACATTATGGCCTTGGATTAGTTTGTCTAATCCAGTCTAAAGCCATGCAAAATCATTATGCGATCAATTATCACCACATTATCCTGATAAATTGGTTTTACTTTACATATAAGATTCTAGCCAGTTTTTGTAAAAAAAGCAATAAATAATAATAAAAAAACAAATTTAATCAAAAATAATTTACCGTGCAGAAATTGCCACTTTTCATCCCGATTACCGACCTGGCCCCGATCCGATTTCCTGTTCTAGCCCCGGGTTAGTAAATTTCTATGGGCCCAACTAGGGCTAGGCCTGGTTGCAGACCAGGATTCCAGATCGGGCAAATTGGCATGGCCCCGGTCGAGTTCCCTGTTTCATTTGGATCGGGCCCAGATTAGGTTGCCAGATTTGGCCCTGGTCGTGCCTGGTCTGGGCCCGACCAGGGCCCGGTCAAATTTTCTGCACGGTTTTTTACATTTAGTCGATTTATCATTTCAATAGTTTTATGTGGAAAAGATATTTTTGTTGACAAAAATTAAAAAAAAAAATTATACGATTTTTAAAAGAAATATAT